TCTATATTCACCACTAAATTAACGTTTGATTCATTGATAAAACATTGCAATCAATTGAATGGCATTCATATGAAATTCTGGCGCAATATTGATATCGAAACACATAATAAGTTTAGCGCAAAGTTTGCCAAACAATTGAAATCAATTGGATTTTCCATCTGGTCTACAGTTCGCGGCAATTCATCGATGGTTTATCAATCAATTGATACTAATCTCAAAAGTTACACAAACACCTTGGCAAAACTTTGTAAAACAATTTTTGATTTTTATGAAAATTTATTCGTGAATAAAGCATTAACTAAGAAGAATAAATACACAAAAATTAATATTCTAGGTAAAGAATTTTTAAAGATATTGTAAAAATTATGTGATAAAATATTTTTATATTTTATACAAAAAAATGGTTTTTAAATTGATATCTGGTACAATTATTGAAATGTTGAAACAATAGTTGAAATATCAGGATATATTGTGATGTGCATTGGGCTATCACCATGTTCACTTTCATCAATAATAGTGTTTTCACTGTCGATTAATGTGTCACTGGTGTCAATATGATCGGAAATAATAGTACCTTCACTCGAACTGTCGTTATTATCAACCAAGGCTTGTTTACAATATATTGAGTCCACATTCACATAAGTTTTTTTAGATTTATTATATCTAGTGTGGCCCAAGTATAAGATTAAACTTGTTGCATGTGCACAAGCACCCATTGTACGCTTACCAGCATTACACGTACAAATCACATCTTTAATAGAGGAATAATCTCTTACAGTTTTGTCATATGTGATATATGATAAATATTGTTTAGTATTTACATGTCTAGATCGAATTCTCGAACGCAATAATACTGTATTGGTATCAAAAAGATTTGATTTATCTGCATATATTTCAATTAAAGGATCATTCGGGTTTTGGAAATTCTCCTTTATATAACTATTAGCTTGTTCAATTTGATATGGGCCAAATGTTATATTCTCTGAAATATCGTTAATTGACAATTTAGGAAAATCTGTTACAGAATGTGATGACATTTTAGTAAAATCTTTGCGTTTTCTATCTAAATGATTGTCTGCTAATATTGGTTCTAATCTATTTTCTGTATACAATTTTGCTTTCATTTTTGTAGCAATGATATATTCATTTTGATTGCTAATATAATTATTATAATACTTATTTGTAATAGCTGCCGCTATTCGAAAGTCATCAATTTAGTGGCTTAAAGTTACATTTCGATGAACTTTTCCATTTGCACGGAAATTGTTTTTCAATCTACTATTTACAACTTCAACAACCCAACGACATTTTGTTGTTAATCGAGATTCATTTGCTTCCATAGTAGTCATCTGTTTTTGATTTGGTTTTTTGCATACTGGCATGTGGGTTTTAAGACTGTAATCATTTTTAAGTGTATTGATAACATTTCTAAATCCTCGATCTAATATAATATGATCATTGGGTTTAAGCAACTTTTTCAATTCTTTATTGCTTTTAAGAATTGAATCAAGAATTGTTGCATCATTATGATTAGCAGGATATAAACCATAAACATCCAAAATTCTACCATTTGTGGCACAAATGACAAATGGTTTAGAGAGATGGCGCCCTTTTTGCATACTATAAGATTGTCTTTGTAGATTATTATCACCACTTTTTTCATGATATAAATATGTCCCATCAGCAATAATTATCAACTTATCATTAGGAACATCATATAATGTTTGTGCCATAATTGTGTTTTGTTGAATCCATTCATTTCGGGTTAAATGCGAAACACCCAGGTGTTTTGGAACAAAGTCTTTGATCAGAGAATTCCTCACTTGTTGACAGTAGTTACTAACATTTTGATGATTATCAATAGAAAATAATGAAGCGATTGTCCTCTGATCTAACCCAGTTTTAAGCCAAAACAAATAAGTGGCCAATGCTTGGGATTTTGATCTTGTTTGGGAATCATTCAATGTATTTAAACTGCATAATAAATCATTGAATTCATTTTTATTTAAACCTGTATATCGTTTGCAATCATCGTTATTAATGTATTTACGTTTAGAGAATTTTTCAATTAAAGTATGTTTTGAAGCATGTCTTAAACTACCCATTAATACTTCAATCTCTTCATTTGTTAAAGTGCTGGTTTCACTCACTATTTCTAATTCATTTAAACATTTCTTGTGAAAGGTTTTCTTGCGATTCAAATGTTTTCCACAGCATTTGCTATCATTAGGTATCAGAATATTAGATTCAATAAAAGTATTTAAAAATGCAGTTTTAGGAATATTAATGAGATTTTTAGTTTTGGAGCATATTATACATTTATTTGTTATCATTGTTCGAGGAATTTTTAAACTTATTTCATTTATTTCACTTTCAATTGTATTTGTATTTGAAGTATTTGATATGGGATGAACAGGCATTTCAATACTCGATGTACTTGCAAACGATTGAGAGTCTGATGTTGAAGGAAGAGATGGATAAATATGTGATGATGATTGTTGGACTGGTGACATGTTATCGCCTTTGAATGTTATAGCTTTAGTTCTACAAGCACCACAAATCAAGTCACCGATTTTCACTTCAACATTATCATTGTCTTTTTTTCTATTAGTTAAAATGATTGGTTTCACTGTGTTAAGTTTATTAACTAAATTAACTTCATTTACCCGTCGTACACTACGTTTAGGTACTTCGTCTAGTCGTTTTGAACAACACGCACATTTATTATATCTTACAATGCCCAAACTAGCCATTTTTGCAAAAAATCAGACTTTTGCCAAAATTTTCTTCCACCGGAAAAATACCACAAGTTTCTCTGAATAGTATTGTAGAGTTTGAATGGATCTTTCAAATGATATATATATTGATAGTGGTATTATTCCGGTGAAAGAATCTGTCGAGCATTTTGTAATTTAATCACTATTATGAATAACTAAAATCAATTTTAAATCAAAACATCCTTATAATAATTATTATACTTTATATTTAATTCATAGATCCGTTGGAATTTTATGAATAACTTGTTTAGTTTTTCTGCAAATTGATTTAGAACTTTGGCACTTAAATATGTTCCAGTTACAATATGTTTTGTGTTACGTAAATAATTTTTACATTTTTTGTTATTGTATAATCTATTGATCATTATAATAACATCCTGATATTGTTTTTATATCATGACATTTGAAGTTTGCCATTGTGTTTGACACAAATTGCCTTAAAATATCTGCCGTTTAATAGCGATAGAAATCCATTGGATTTATTGATTGGAAATGAAAATCAAGTTTTATTCACACAACTTGTGAAGATTTGCTTCATATTTGAAGGCGAAACCAAAGAGTTTCACAAAAGTTTTAATACATTTGTCGATAACTATAAAAATCAGATGAAATCAATTGATGTCGATATCGATGGCAACAGCACTAGAAAGTCAATCGCAATACTAATGAATGGTTTGTCGCAAATGAAAGCATTGATTGAATTGAAGATCACTTTCTCTAATGTTTTTACACTGCCTTACATTCATCTGAAAGCCAATCAATTCAAACAAATTGGTCTCAATTGTCGACAAATCAAACGATTATCACTCGATTTGGAAATAATTAATAAGAAAAACTATTTCAATAAATTGTTTAAAACAATTACAGAAAACTTTGTTAATATCCGTCGTTTGGCTTTCAATGGTATGGATCCAGACTTCGCTACTTCTCGAGGCATTCAACTTAATTGCCGACAATTAACTCATTTAACACTTCGTTCGCACAAATCATTTCTATTAGTAAACGAAACTTTATTTACAAACATTTTGCATAATTTACCAAAACTTCAATATCTGAACATAAATTGCATTCATTTAACCGACAATTTGTTGAACACATTATCAAAGCTGCCAAACATTGAGACCATTAAACTGGAGGGCAAACAACAGTACAATCAGACAACAGTACAATCAGACAACAGTTGATAACGTTTGGATCAATTGCCCTAAATTGAGACAAATTGTGATCAAACACATGGAAGTGAGTACGGGTTGGAGATGTGGTACTGGTGTTAACAGTAGTCGTCCTTTTGGAAAACGGAAACAACTTTCATCTTAAAAACTCTGTGTTTTATATAGATTTGTCATATGTTTTAATTATTACAGCGAAAGTCGTGTTTTTAAAAAGCAAGTTTTATTAAGCTATGTTACTGTAAAGCCTTTTGGATTAATTTATTACAACAATTAACTCATTTCTCGTTTTTGTAATTAAATATCGTTTGACAATTAAATTGAGAACTGAATTACGGATTACTAGAATATATTGTTCACACATTCACTTGTGTTCATATTTTTTGTTTATTAAAAACACTATTTAAGTGAATCACAGGTTATTTACCATTTGATGTTTAATTACAAATATTTAAGATTAAAGTCTAATTAAATTTATCTTTTTTGACTTAATTTGCAAATAAATTACTTGTAATTAATTGATAATTAATGATTGATTTTAAGACTATTCTTTACATTGATAATAATTGTAATTAAAAACATAATGAAAGTCATAATTAAATCTAATACTTTTTTGTAATTTTAATAGATTATAGACTTATTCCAGACATTAATATAATTGGATTTAATAATGATTTACTAATTTTCTATGAAATTAAGTTAATATCTTCATAATAAGTTGATTATTACAGTAACCACTGTAATCGATAACGAGTATAGACTGTATAAATAGCGACACCTGTTGTTCACAACGAAAGTCTATTTTTAATCAATATTTTGTCCCATTTTTCAAACATTTTTGACTCAAAAACACGTGTTTTTTAATCAATTGTTTTGTGGATTAAAATGAAGTTTAAATTGAATTGAATTAACGTTTCATTGATTTGTATTCAAAACCAGAAGTAATTTATTCATACATTTCGTCCACAAATCAGTCTTTCATTTCATTTCTCATTGTTTTACAGATTTTGCGATAATTTGTCCCAAAAATCAATAGTAATTAATGGCATCGAAGAGAAGAGCTATTCCCAAATGTGACCCAAGACTTGACAATGAGATGCCCTCTGGAAGCGATTCAGTGATGTCTTCACGACAAGTCTATGCAAAGGATTCAATGGACAGATTTGGCGACGATTTGTCTGAAGTGTTATTGTCTTATCTGTCACTTAAAGACCGATTCATCACTGAATGTGTGTCCAAACAGTGGCAAAGAGTGGTCTTCACGAGTGTTACGGACATCACAGAAGACATAGTCTTCCAGAATATGAGCGACAAATCATTTGAATTAATGGTAAAGAAGTGCCAAAACGTGCGAAGAGTTGAATCCTTTGATAACGCCTTTTATACCAACGAAACAATGTTTGAGACAATTATAAAACATTGCAATCATTTAAATGGCATTTATTTGATCTTTCATTTCATTGAAAACATGGAAACGTTTAATAAGTTTAACCCAAAGTTTGCCAAACAATTGCAATCAATTGGATTCAGTTCTTGCGGTGCTTTCGGTGGTAAAGCAAGTCTTCGGCAATCATTAGCCAATAATCTCATGCTTTACACGAATTTAACACAAATTGATTTAAAAAAGTATTTATATATTAAGAAAAATCCATTGGATTTGTTGTTTGGAAACCAAAATCAAGTTTTATTCACAAAACTCGCAAAAATTTCATTTAAATATTTCGGAGGAATTGAAGAGTTTTGTAATGATTTTCATAATTTTGTCGACAATTATAGAAAAACTGTGAAATCAATTGATGTCCAAATCGATGTCAATAGTAATGAAGAATCAGTTGAAACATTAATGAATGGTTTGTCGCAAATGAAAGCATTGACTGATTTAAAGATCACTGCCTCTACTGAAGACAAGCCTTACAGTTATAATCGTTTGAAAGCCAATCAATTGAAACAAATTGGTGTTAATTGTCGTCAACTCAAGCGATTGACTCTCGATTTGGAAATAATTAATGAGGAAAACTATTTCAATGAATTGTTTAAAACAATTAACAAAGACTTTGTTAATATCCGTCGTTTGGCTTTCAATGGTTTGGACCCAAACTTCTCCACTTCTCGAGACTCGAGACCAATTCAACTTAATTGCCGACAATTAACTCATTTAACACTTCGTTCGCACAAATCATATCTATTAGTAAATGAAACCTCTTTTTTAAACATTTGCTATAATTTACCGAAACTTCAATATTTGGACATAAATTGCATTTATTTAACCAACAAATTAATGAACACATTATCAAAGCTGTCAAACATTGAGACCATTAAACTGGAGGGCAATCAAGAGTACAATCAGAAAACAGTTGATAACGTTTGGATCAATTGCCCTAAATTGAGACAAATTGTTATCAAACATATGGATGTGCCTAAAGGTTGGAGATGTGGTACTAAGCCGTTAAGACATGGCATATATTTGGTATAAAATGTCGTTTGGCAATTAAAATTAGACTTAAATTACGGATAATTACAATATATTGTCCACACATTCACTGTTTCACATAATTTTTTGTTTATTAAAATTTAAGTTAATTCTTGTTTTATTAATAATTGTGACTTTTTTTAATGCAAATATTATTTTAGATATTATAAGAAAATTGTGATTAAAAATTGCTTAATTTTAAACTATACTTTGACTGCAAATAAAATCGAAATTATTACCAAATAAATGCATTACATAATCATTAATTGTTGAAAATACTTATTAATTTTTTAAAATATGATTCGTTATTATTTGTTGTCATTATTAACGTTAACAGTAAAAGTAGATTTAAAACAGCCATAAATTTATACAACATTTATCATCGCACAAAATACTGCCACAATATAACCAGTAATTAAAGCAATGTTTTTCACCAACTTTTATACGACAATCGCTATTAATTGCATTATAAACATAATTCAAACGCAAAACTCTAACATTGGGTGCGGTTTAAGTAAAGTAATGCCAGTCATAACCAGTGGTTGCAAACGTATTGTCAATTACAAAGACACGGATCAGATAAGCAATCGGATTGTGGGAGGAAGGGATGCCTCCATAGAACAGATACCATGGATGGCATCGCTTTATGTCAAGAATATGGGACACTGCGGGGCGACAATCATCGATGAGCGATGGATATTAACGGCCGCTCATTGTCTGCGCCCGTATGTTATAAAACAATTATTTAGTTTATCATTAAAATAATCGATAAATCAATACAAATATCTGCAGAAATGTGAACAAAAACGATATAACAGTGAGAATTGGTTCCAGCGATAAGCTCAGGGGTGGCAGACTATTGGGGGTAAAGGCGGTGTACATTCACCCAGAGTTTAATCACATTGTCATGCAGTCACTTCAGTCTATAAGTAATGACATCGCGTTAATTGAATTGAAAACTAGTATCAAATACGACATGTCATCCGCTAATCGAGTTTGTCTACCAATTAATGCTGGGCTGATAGACATGTATGGGTTTAAGGCCCTGCTTAGCGGTTGGGGCCGTACGGACGGCAATAGACCAACAAATACCTTAAGGAAAGCAATTTATGATACTATTCCTAACCGTGAATGTCATCTTAAGACCGAGAAAATTATATGCGTTAACGCCATTCATAACATGGCGTGTAGTGTAAGTGTAAATTAGTACTTGGATCCGCTCGAGTGATATCTATGTCAATATATTATTTAATACAATAAGTTAATACACTACTGGTATATGACAATAGGGTGATTCTGGCAGTCCACTCATCAGATACCAAGGATGTAATGCTGTGCTAATGGGTGTCTATTCATCTTCACGTAACTTTACTGGCCAGGCATGCGGTCCAAAGCACATGGTGTTTGTTAGGGTAGCCAATCATATGCCATGGATTGAGCGATATATCGGTATATATGCGAATGTATATTTAATATGTGGTCGTAATTAAGATTGCGATTAATTGTTAATTTATAGGTTATAAACACCAGTCGAAAGAAAGCACCGGAAGTGTCGGCACATCTAGTGGTGAAATGTTGTGCACAAAACAAATCGCGATTTATTTTTCTATGTTTATAGTTTTAAATTATGTTTACAATATCTATGAATAAGTTAATTACCATTTTATTAATAATTGTGAATTTTTTAATGCAAATATTATTTTAGATATTGTAAAAAATTTTGATTAAAAATTGCTTAATTTTGAACTATACTTTAGCTGCGAATAAAATCGAAATTATTACCAAATAAATGCATTAAATAATCATTAATTGTTGCAAAATAATTATTACCGTAATTTAAAAAATATGATTTGTTATTATTTGTTGTCATTGTTAACATTAACAGTAAAAGTAGATTTAAAACAGCCATAAATTAATACAACATTTATCATCACACAAAATACTGCCACAATAACAAGTATATAACAAGTAATTAAAGCAATGTTTTTCACCAACTTTTATACGACAATCGCTATTAATTGCATTATAAACATAATTCAAACGCAAAGCGTTAACATTGGGTGCGGTTTAAGTAAAGTAATGCCAGTCATAACCAGTGGTTGCAAACGGATTGTCAATTACGAAGACACGGATCAGACAAGCAATCGGATTGTGGGAGGAATGGATGCCTCCATAGCAGAGATACCATGGATGGCATCGCTTACCATCGATAAATATAAGAATGTGGGATATTGCGGGGCGACTATCATCGATGAACGATGGATATTAACGGCCGCTCATTGTCTACATCCGTATGTTATAAAATAATTATTAATTAAAATTATTAAAAATATATACTTTTAATTAAAACTCATTATTTATTAGCTATTTAGTAATGTTTATAAATGTCTTTACACTTGTTTTTGCTATATTGTCACTCTTAACCATGGTCGCTATTCGCGTCCCCATCTTGTAACCCCCATTTCCGCCACATGTAAGTGGGTACGTTTATTAACAGTCGCCCGCATTCACCCGACTATATAAGTAATGACATGGCGTTAATTGAATTGAAAACTAGTATCAAATTCGACATGTCATACGCTAATCAAGTTTGTCTACCGACTAATGTTGGGCTGATAGACATGTATGGGTTTCAGGCCCTGCTTAGCGGTTGGGGCCGTACAGACGGTGATAGGCCAACAAATACCTTAAAGAAAACACTTTATAAAACTATTCCTAACCGTCAATGCGATCTCAAGACCGAGAAAATTATATGCATTAACGCCACTCATAACATGGCTTGTGATGTAAGTGTAACACTTGGATCAGCTCAAGTGATATCTATGTCAATATATTACTTAATGCAATAAGTTAATACACTACTGGTATAAACAATAGGGTGATTCTGGCAGTCCACTCGTCGTTTACGA